ACATTTGCGCTCAGGACTGACACAACGATCATCACTTGGCATTAGGCACTTGAAATGTTGTCAGAAGGTTGGTAGTAGGGCCAGCGTCCAACTTATCCCATCATATGTTCCTTTGTCATTTATTGACATTTGCGTTTGGACTTGATACGAAACCTCCTCACAAACTAAACAACACGATTATGCAGAGTATAATTTGTATCGATCACCTCCTGTGTTTCAATGATCTAAAGTCGTCCTGTGAACAAAGACGAAGGTGATAAAACAGGGTTTTTATGAGTTGTGACAGAAAATTCCGCTTATAAGTTCTTGTGTGTAGCAGGTTTAGAACTCAACAGTCCAGAGTCTTCTACGTCGATGCGCTTCGTAAATTGGACCGACCGAACCATAAAACTTGGAGAACTAGGAGTTCCATATCTTCATCTGCAACGGCAGTATTATGAACCGTTGCGGATGATTTGTATAAAAGAAATGTGCGAGTAATTACAAAAAAATTAAATGAATAAACAGATAGGGAAGAATGACTGCCCGAAGAGATATAGAAGAGGGGAGGTTCCTTCAACTCGATGGCTCAAGTGTCCAACTGCCTCTGGTAAAATTCACTACCATTTTAAAAAGCTCTTGAGCTTGGTCCCACACAGTCCCAGGTCTCAGAACTAATTGGTTCAGCTTTTTTAGGAGTTCTCCTGCAATTTCCACTGCATCCACTCCAACCACACCCTCGGAAATCAATTCCATCTGCTTTGGTATTTCAACATTTACCAATTGATTGTAACTCGTTAGCGCCCGAGTAGATCGACAGTGGGGACAGCGCCGCGCAGGCAGATGCACTATACCAGAGCACTGTGGACAACGTAGAAACTCCATCTGATGGCGCTTGGGATCAGAAAGAGTAGGCCAGTCCTTGGTGCAGGCTTCACAGACGCACTGAAAGAGGTAATGCGAGCTAAGCTCACGCCGACGATCAACGCGCGGCTTGAGGGAGAAGCAATCAATGTAGCAGTCAAAGACTTCTGTGCCTGCAGTCAGAGGCCGCAGAGCAGAAAGGAAACATGTGGCTCGACTAGTGCAGGTGCGGAAGGCTGAAGGATCACAAGAATGGTTGACAAGGGAGAGGGTTGGGTAGAGGGCAGAGAAGACTTCACGCATGGCATATGAGGAGAGATTTTGGAGGGAGAAGAAGACATCATCCGCGTGGCCATGCGCATTGACTGGGACGGATTGAAGATGATAAAGCATGCATGCCGCAACCCAACTTGCTGGAAGGCTATTTGGACGACTTTTTGGAGCCGGAGGGGAGTAGAAGAGGTCCGTCTCCCCAAACCACGCCATTGGATAGCCACCAAGCTGAAGTAGGCATACACAGATCTCAGAGGCTATTTGCACAAGGAGTCCAAATGTAACGGAAGCCCGTAAAGGAGTAAAAAGGAAATGCGTTTGTGGCATAGTAAGTGCTAAGCCTGTTGCGCTACTCCTTCTAACAGTCGACAATCGTGCGTGTGGAAGTCATTCCACCCCAGTTCGATCCACTACCAGAGTTGTGGGTGATGAGCCTAATATCTTGCCGTTCAATGCGTTAAACACAAAACCACAAGCTTAGACATCAGTGATAGGCACCGAAAACCAGTAAATGGTTCGCTCACAATCTGCAGCTCCACTTCTCCAGTCAAATCGGAAGACTGCCTCGGCACTCAATCACTACGTTTCCCATTTAAAGCAAGCGATCAGGTTTTGAACAGAAGCCACATGAAATGGTTGACTGCACGCAGGAATGACCATTGTGATGTTGGACCAGGATTGAAAGCACCACGTGCACCGCTGCTTCGAAAAAATTAATTTCATTAAAATTTTTAACCCCGTGTAGGCTAACCAACACTACTATCACCGCAATGCACTGATGAGTAGCGCCGAGCCTATGCTGGGTGCAATAATATGTGCGGATTAATGGTACTAAGCTAGGCAGATTTGCATTATCCACAGCGTGTACCCATTTTGCGAGTTAGCATTGAAAATATCGGTTTGATTTAAATGACACTGCTGAACATTAATTGTTTTGTAAAAACTGTAAGTCGACGGCAAAGCCACCAGAAACGCTTGTTTAAACGATAAAGTGGCATTTAAACAAACATGGGAAAAAAGACTTACAGAAAGACAATAAGTGAGGAAGACAGCAGCTACGGTACGCTGCCAGAGATCGGCGCGGTTCCGATACTCACTACAAGCAACCAACCAGGCTGCAGCAGAGTAATCCGAAGGGTCGAGGACACACAGAGCAACATCGCGAACTGAGGAGCCGACGAAGGCCTGGTGACCATTTCCGCCTTTTTCCTGTTTCTGTAAGTGATATAATGGAAATAAGCATGAGAGCATAAAACGACCCGTTTAACAATCTTTGAAGTGAGTGTAC